TTATTATATATCTTCCTGAGACCCACTGCATCCGTCTGCCATAAACACTATGCAAACATACATGTTAGTTTTGGCCCATAGTGGACTCCATGTTGTGTTGTGTGAAATGGGGGGGAATTAAAAGTTTAGGTCAAATAATATTTAAAATTATATAAATTGTCATATTTGTGTATGTGCCCCTGCCATTCCCCCACAAGGTTGCAACATTGATGATAAATAAATGACAAATAAAGCTTTGCCAGTTTATAACCGATGAAACATGATGGTATCAGAATAATCACTTACATGTGATGTATAGGATGCTACACAGGTCACAAAAGATAAAGTGTCAGGAGAAATAAGCTTAATCGCCATGTCGGTTTTCTTTATTGCACTCTCAAGACATAACATTAAATAGAACAATTTTAAATGTAAATAAAGTGTCAGTTGTACATGTCAGTAAACATTATATATAAAATAAGTCATAACAGTAATAACAATATAAAATAAACTGTCCCAGGTGTAGGGATATTCTCAGCAGCATGCACACCTTAGTGCAACGTTGTGTGTCGTGTGTCAGTATTTACAAAAACTATACCAAATAAACTGTTATTAAATGCAGTTTGTCGCTCATCCTGCCTCTGCGCCGACGCTTCCTCATGGCGCAGCGCCCACACTTCATCCTGGTGCTGCTGGCGCTCCATCTGCTGCTTGAACACTTCTGCCTGGCGCTCCATCGAGGTGAGCATCTTGTCCTCCGTTTCCTGGGCCTTGGTGAACAGCACCATCTGATCTCCACGCTGCGACTCATTCACCACGGCACGCCGGTCCTCCAACGCCTGGGCGGTGTCAAAGAAATTCGCATCCCGTGTCCGCTTTCCTAAGAGGGGAAAATAAGCAATATACAAGATCTTAGTCGCCATGTAGTTTTACAACATACTAGGAATGTGTTTTTTGTATTTTCACAAATAGAATTAAGGTTTCACAAATCTGAAACTGTGTTATAAAGAATCTTTTGACTCTCTGGGATAATCCAGTCCAGATTTGATGAGTGTAGGTATAGTGGTTTTAGATCAGGACCTGGTCTAATGTGGTCTACATGTAAAAAAAGCACTGAAATCTCCCTTTTTTGTATTTTCACAAATAGAATTAAGGTTTCACAAATCTGAAACTGTGTTATAAAGAATGTTTGGCCTCTCTGGGATAATCCAGTCCAAATAAATCGGCTATGCAGCGATTCAAGAGGTTCAAACACGGAGGATTGTTCCTTTTTGAAGAGTGCTTCATGTATGCTTGAACTTTGTTTAATGTTGTTGAGGCAAGTTAAACATAAAATATGATGAATATTATGAAATAAACATGATTGTGAACATCAGTTCGATGCGTAACGTTCTTTCAAGACAAAGTTACAGTGTGTGTACCTTTGCGTTTGGTTGCTGGTAAGGAGGACGACAAAGCGCTGTGATCTAGAATGCAAAGCTCACTTGTTTCCAATCCCGAGAGTTGTCCATCCTCGCCTGAAACAGACGATTAGTGCCATGAGTTAGTGAAAGCAAATTACAGAAACACTGCACAGTTATTCACAAGTCAAAACGTTTTCATACAGCGGAGAATATCTAGCTAGCTAGATGTAGCTAGCCGGGGCCGGTGTTAGCCTATTATGGCTAGCATGGCTAGCTTGATCTACTGAGCAAATAAAAGTACATCTGAGACCATTATTGTGCAGATTAAAACCCCAGTGCATGTAGTTGATTTACCTTCATCGTGGTAGTCATCGTTGGCCACTGAATCCGCCGTTTGTAGTCCTGAGTTTCTTTATATTTAGCCGGCTGTGCACAATTCCCAGGTCGAGTGAAAGCTACCGAACTGGCCTTCAGTAGCATTCCTTGGGTCGCGTTCTCGGCGTAGATCTCCAGAAGCGCCCGACACCTCCTCATCATTTCTTGATGCTTGCCATAACTGCTTTCAAAAACAAACACAACGCACGGAGCGTTGTGTTTTTGTAGCGAGGAAAAACAATGCGTCTCCACACAACATTTCAGAGTTGTTACGGGCGTGGTTTGCAATTCGCCCAGCCAATCAGCACTGGGGAACTTTTGGAGCACTTTTCACCCACAGAAAAGTACGCTCTCTGAGCAGGCTCTAAAAATGGGGGTAAAAGTACCCGAGATTAAGTACGATTTTTGGTGTGAACGCGACATAAGGGGTACTCACGGAACTAAAACGCGAAAAGTACGGTGAAAGTACTCCGGTGTGAACGCGGCTATTGTGCTAATTAGCAAGTGTTACGGTTGACGAAAAAGTTCCTCATTCACTTTACATTAGTTGTTTCCGTGGTGCCGATACGTAATTTAGCAGATTTCGTGTCTCCACCACGTAATGCGGTGTTAAGGAGTCGTGTTCATTTCACGTATTTTGGTGAGACCAGGTTGTACATTTCCCCTAGCTGGATCATATGTTCCCAGGGCATTATCTCTTCATATAAACTCGTAAAAAAAAACGTGTGATTAGAAGATGTGTGTTAAGTCAAGGAAACTGGCTTGTCCAAACATTTGAGGGCATTATAAGAAGTATACCATTAGTAAGCTATAAGATGTATGTTAGTCTACTTGAACATATCAACCTTTGGAAACAGAAATGTAGCCAGAAACTGCTGAGAACACAAAACCATTTGAAAGCCCCCCTTAATGTGTTAAATTAGGATGATATTAAGCTAGGGAACATAGGACCCTGGGAAAAGAGATGTGCTATCAATGCCAACATGCTACACGGAAGTGTTGAAAATGGTGATACCTGCTAAACAGTGTGAACATCTGAGCATATTGGCGTTAGCATTTAGCTCAAAGCAGCACTCTGCCAAGTACAGCCTCACAAAGCCACAAGCATGGCTGTAGACCTTTGTTAATCCCAAAGTTATCTGGACTGAAACATCGATAGACAGTTTGACTAAAGCAACATTTGTATCTGTTCCTGATAATACTTATTTATTGTGTAATGTTGGCTATTTTGCTATCATTCAACCCAGTCTCACGGCATTTCGTGTTATAGTCACGGAATTAATTTAATCTATTGATTCGTGTTCACCAACACGACTTTTGCATTTTTTTCTTGTCACACAGAACGATTTTGAAAGCAATGTATTTCTATTGGTAGTATGTTTCGTGCCTGCACCACGTCTTTTTGTCCGGTCGGGTCTTGGAAGACCAGAAGCTGTGTGGTTCATAAAAACATTTTCTTACTCAATATCTTACCCTAACTCTTTTATTTTAAAATGTATAATGTCGGAGTTTTTTTGCCGTCCGCGAGGAAAATAAATGGGGATCAGAGCCTCAGAATACTGAAATCTGTATTTAAAAAAAAAAAGAAATCCTTCTAATTTGTTATTAATTGGTGCAGGCACGAAACATACTACCAATAGAAATACATTGCTTCTAAAATCGTTCTGTGTCAGAATACTGAAATCTGTATTTTTTTTATCTCTTTTCCTTCAAATTTGTTATTCTTTACATTGCTTTTAAAATCGTTCTGTGTGACACGAAAGAAATGCGAAAATCGTGTTGGTGAACACGAATCAATAGATACATTTCGTGACTATAACAAGAAATGCCGTGAGACTGTGTTGCATCATTACGGGCTTGAAAAAAACTTAGTGGGACTGAGTTTATGGAAAGTCATGGGGATTGGATTTCTATGACTTCTTCATGTTAACTCAACATAAACTAGGTGTGCTAACGGCTATGTAAATATTATTTGTCCATTAATGTGTGCCATTGATTCCATCTATTTAATCGTATCATGAAACTGATTGTATCTGAGGCTGTCTCTTTTATGATACCCAATCTTTTTCAGCTCCATTTTATTTTCCAGTTCAGCCTCACAGGGGAATTGCATAGCCTCACCACGGTACTCCAGTGACTCTAATAGTTGTGCCAGCTGGAGGAAACAGAAGATACGTCATATAAAATGGCAGGGCATTGGATTAGCTGGCTATTTCTGTACCTTGTTGATCAGAGAAACATGAATTGTACACACCAGAGTATTTCCCCACAGAACAGAGGGGAAAGAAAGGTCTCAAAGGTTATATAACAATGATATATATATATATATACATCTAAATGCTTCAATACGTAGATTATTGTAAAGTATACTCATAAATTACATTTTTACTATATTGAGAGGAAAAAATACAAAAAGTGTGGTTACCCAATCACCAGTTAAAAGGATTGGCTTGTAAAGCTTTCTCATTCAACAGCTTTTGTTAGAAGCCAGCTCCTAAAACCTAAAAGTGAGACCTTTTTTTATTTTATTTATTTAACCTTTATTCAACAGCGAAAGTCTCATTGAGATTAAAAATCTGTTTTGCAAGAGAGTACTGGCCAAGATAGGCAGCAGCACAGTTACAGAACACACATACAAAAACAGAACAGCGAACAATCAGGAGCATCATCATATAAAGAATCTACAGTTATCTGCTTCCCGGTCACTAAGAGGCACTTTAAAACTGTAAGCGAGACCAGTAGAGAAGTCTAGATATTTTTAAGAACTTTGTAAGTAGCAAAAGTATGTAAAGTAAAACAATTTATTGGTAGTAAAATGAAGTGCTGGAATAAAAAATGGTTTTATCCCACATTGAAGCTACTTACAGGGACATTTAAGTGGAAATGTTACCTCATGTTGAGTGTATTCATGTGCAATGTTTTGCTGAAGCCAAAAGCAGCAACATTTTGTTATTGTACAATAGAAAAACACTTGTGAATGTAATTTTCCTTTTCTGCTTAAACTAATGCATTTATATTCCACTTTTCAGGTGATAATTATTCCCTTTACAAAATGGGAATTGTATGCAGATTATGGAAAAGGTTTTATACTAATATATTACCCATCCTTCCTTGACAGGAAACTACTATTGCATCACCTCTCAATCCAGTGTGTGTTGGACGGAGCTGTGCACTTACTGTAAGCCTGATCAGTTTTGTATGAGCTGGGCTGATAGTGAGAACCTGGCTGAGCCCCACTGAGGCATGAGTGTGGGAAGGGCCAAGCATCACAGCTTCGTGTCCTGTGAAGAAGAGGGCTTGAGACTGAGTGCAATGCCTGCAGTGGGCAGCTTCGGCAATGGCAAGATTCAAACGAGACGAAAGTTCCACAGCCGCTTTGTCAGCAAGGCTGGCCAATGCAACATCCATTTCTCAAACATGGATGAGAAGTCACAGCGGTACATATCGGATATTTTCACAACATGTGTGGATGTCCGCTGGCGATACATGTTCCTGCTCTTCAGCCTGGTGTTTGTGGTGTCCTGGCTAACATTTGGCCTGGCATACTGGGTCATTGCACTTCTACACGGTGACATGGACCATCTTGATGAAGACGACAGCTTTGTTCCTTGTGTCACGATGGTTAAAACCTTCGTGGCTGCATTCCTGTTTTCCATTGAGACCCAGACGACCATTGGGTATGGAGCTCGCTGTGTGACAGAGGAATGCCCGGCTGCTGTCTTCATGGTGGTCTTTCAGTCCATCATGGGCTGCATCATAGATGCTTTTATGATTGGTGCCATCATGGCTAAGATGGCAAGGCCCAAAAAGCGTGCAGAGACACTGCTGTTCAGCCACAACGCAGTCATTGCCATGCATGATGGGAAACTGTGTTTCATGTTTAGGGTAGCTAATCTGAGGAAGAGCCACATTGTGGAAGCTCATGTGCGAGCGCAGCTTGTCAAGCCCCGATACACAGAGGAAGGAGAATACATTCCCCTGGATCAACTTGACATGAATGTCGGCTATGACGATGGCACAGACCGCCTGTTTCTGGTGGCACCGCTCACTGTCATACATGAGATCGATGAAGAAAGTCCACTGTTTGGCATCAGTAAGCAGGATCTTGAAACACTAGACTTTGAGGTTGTAATTATACTTGAAGGCTTGGTGGAGGCCACAGCCATGACAACACAGGCACGGAGCTCTTACCTGCCCTCGGAGATCCTGTGGGGTCACCGCTATGAGCCCGTCATCTTTGAGGAGAAGAGCCAGTACAGGATAGACTACGCCTACTTTCACAAAACATACGAAGTACCATCCACCCCCAGATGCAGTGCCAAAGACCTGGAGGAGAGAAAATTCCCAACATCTGGTGCCAACTCTTTTTGCTATGAGAATGAGCTGGCCTTCATCAGCAAGGATGAGGAGGAGGAGGAGGAGGAAGGAGATGTGGAGGTAGAGGAAGAAAGGAAGAGTTCATCGGAGCGAGTGAACGAGCAGGCCAATCCTGGACGTGATCAAATGGCGTCACCTAAAGAGTCAGAGATTTATCTTTGGTTGACTTTTTCTTTGTTTATTTGGATGCAGAACAATGCAAGTGTCGTGTAAAAATCCCTATGACTGTCGCTCTACTGACGTGAGGAAACAACAGAACTGATCTGAAAAACTGAAACTGATTTAGATTTCTCTTATGATTAACATTTTGTTCTTCCCGAGATGGGTTATGAAGCTTTATTAAAGGCAAACAAGACTATGACAAAGTGCATGACAATAGTATAGTTTTGTATGAATATATTTAAATGTTTCATAGGTTTGGCGGGACAATCTGGTGCTGTTCACAGTCAAAGTATACAATTTGCAACTGAGTGTGGAGTTAGATTAACACTTTGCAGAAAACTAAACATTTGAGAATATTTCTCCAGATGAAGTTCTAAAAAATAGAGGTGTTGATCAAGTTTTTTCTTAATGTAAAAACCATGTGAACAATATGACTCTAAAAAATGTTCATTAGACAATGTCAATGGATGACTTGGTTAGTTGGCTTACATACAACTGCTATATCATGGACTGCATTTAACTAAAGACGACACATCACAAGGTAGAGTTTTAAACATTTCCGTATTTCCAACAAAAAGAGAGAACAGCCTGATGGTGCATCACAAGTCAATAATGAAGGCAAATCTCTGTCTTCACATTTCAGCCAGGGGGAAACATTAAAACATGAGTAGATGTTTAACAGGTCAATTATATCTCAACAGTTTACCAGAAACATTTTGGCTTGACTGAATGAGTGTTTGCTGAGCCGCACTGTTTTTCCGCCAAATGTTCTGTTCTCACAACTTACAAAGCAGTTTACAATAATAATTCAGGTAGATTTTCAATTCAACCTTGAATTTATTCAGCTGTAGACAAATGCAGGCTTATCATTTCTACCAGACAACCCTAACTGGCTAAAGCTAACGTTAGCTTCCGGAGTTAGTTGCAAAGGTTGTCTCCAGCTAATTTGTAACGTATGAACCAGACTTTGTTAATGAGAAAACAGTCTTATATGTGCACCAGTGGCTGCTATATATCCCACTGAAAAGCTAACAGGTCCCAGGCTAAACGTTAGCATCCTCATCAGTTGATGATGCATGTGGAAATCTTAGGAAATAAAGAAACAACGTTGTGCTTTTGTTTGATTTTAGAGAAAGTAAGTCCAGGTTTTACAACTATAATGAGAAAGTATATTCTGTATGATCAGACTGTTATTCCATACTAACCCTGTCTAGCTTAACTTGTTTTGCTTACACTACAGAAAAATGTCATTACACAAACACCTTTTTAAACGTTTTGGATGAAAGTGTAAACTAGGTAATTTGTATCTGTGTTTAACTTTTTAACAGTCATTAAATGTTTTTACAAGAAAAAAGAAAAATGCAGGAAACTATGCTTTATTATTTTTATTTCAAAATAGCACTCCATGGTTCACTTTAAGACCAGGGCACTATCACTATCTCAAGTGTAGTTTGCCGGGGTAAGAGTAAATTATCCCATAATCCATTCAATACTACATCATTTGCTAGTTGTAAAAAAAATGGACATGAGGAATCAGGGTAGTACTGTCGGCAATGCTTCAGCTCAGGCTACTTAAGAGCAGACCATCTATCTCATAGTGAAAGAGAGGCAAGGTCAAATAAAAAGGTGTGAACCTGACAAACTCCTCACATATTGGCAAAGAAAGACTTGACACATTATTTTTGAGGGCCATGCATTACTTTGGTGGAGTTATAACCTAATGTATGACATCTGTGCTCATTGTGTTTAAAAGTCAAATCCAAATAACACAGATTGAAAGAAAAATAATTATACACACAACAACAATAAACGGTGCAGTTTGAAGAAGAGCAGAATAAATGGCTGAGAATACCCCTTCAAGTGCTTAAATATAGATATAAAAACATCAGATTACTGCCTTTGAGATTATTCAGATATTTATAGGACAACATTTAGCAGAAATTCTAAAAACACTTGTGGAAAAAAAGTAACATTTTAATCAAATCTAACTCAAACATTATGTCTTAACAGATGTCTAACTAGAAATCAGTGCAAACAAATCCAACCATAGCCTGAGATAGCCCCAGGTATATTATTAACGTATAACAATGTGAGAAAACAGCAGGGGATAGATGTGTTTAATCATAATCATGCCTTTCAGCGTCCCATTATCACACCAACCTGCTCACGCATTGGCAGATCACACACATGGCTAAAAATACATGAATTTGCTGCTTCTCATATAACCAACCTCCAATTATATTTGTCTTTCTTTCATTATAGGATACATAATAAATATATTAGGTCAGACACTACTCCACTTGGTGAAATAAATGAGTATTTCCTCCACACTTCTCAAGCTTAAAGCTCCATGTGGGTTAATGTATACACCTGACAGCCGATTCAGAACATTTTAACACATTCACATTTATATCTTGTTGCCTTGGGCTTGAAATATCCGAATGGGCTTGCTCCAGAAAACAAATGTTGTTTCCATTGCCATTTGAACCAAGAGCGGGACTGTACAGTTAAAGGGAAGAACTCAAATGTGTATTTGTCTTGCTGTTATTGTAAATAAATTATTATTATTTTTGGTTTGATGTTTCTGGTTGAATAGACATAAGTAACAATACATTGTTTAAAAAGCTCTCTCTCTCTTCTGGAAATACTTGCTTGATGGACTGACTCAATTAAAAAACTCTTCCTGTCTTCCACTTAATACATTTGAAGCAATTTTGACTCTGGGTTGCACCTTGTTTTCTCCTTACAGGGTTTTAGTTTGTTGTGTGAGACAACAATATATAAATTGAGGGACAACAACATTATTCTCCTGTTGATTATCACAATAAAAATATATCTCACAAAGCTTTTACTTCTTTTCTTCATGGTACACAGTAACTAAGTGTAGGGATGATTTTACAACAAGCTGTGTTTGTTGTCCAGTTATAAAAAATACATTTGGCATCTGGTGAGGAAAAGTGTGTGCTGTTTGATAAACATGGAGGAATGGACTGTAATTTATGGCTGTGATTCGGTGTGAAGGTGTCTGGTTGGGGTCAAAGGTTTCTTCTTTCACTCTTATGCAACCAATAAGGCATGTCTTTGCATATGTACTGACAAGACCTGGCGTGATTTCACTGCCCTGTGACCTTGAACACTGGAAAAGAGATTACTACACACACACACACACACACACACACACACACACACACACACACACACACACACACACACCCACACCCACACACACACACACACACCACACACCACACAACCACACACACACAACACACACACCACACACACACACCACACACACACACACACACACACACACACACACACACACACACACACAACAGAAACTTTAATGAGAACGGAGAATAGCGTTGGTTAAATTGCCAAAAATATATGTGGGCTAAAGAGTGGGTGTTTTATTATATCCTCACATTAAATCCTATCACAGTGAATTGTATTTAACTGTTCTACCCTTTCAATCCATATAACCCTTTTTGGAAAGTTAATTAATTCATGTCTTTGGGCACAAATACACATTTCATGCGGTTTTTCTAAATATAACCTTAATTTCCAACGAAAACTCTTTATCCCCTGCAACACATTGCCCATATAGGGACCACATGTTATTATTATTCATTATTTCATTATTAAACCCATGTTACACCCGAATTACATCTATATTATTATTGTTATTACACCTATATTAGAACCCATATTACAACCCATATTACAATTACACTGGTTTTACACCCATATTACATTATATTATGACTCATATTAAATCCATATTAAATAGTTATTACATCCATTTTACACAATTTTTACACCCACATTACACTTATATTACGACCCATCTTAAACCCACATTACACCGTTATTACACCCATATTATACCCACATTTCACTTATATTACAACCCATATTACACCGTTATTACACTTTTTTCAGACAAAGCAACACATTACTCCATGTTACACCCCTACTGTTATACGTGTTACATCATGGACACAGCCTGTCAAATGACTACATCCCCCAGGATACACAAACCATTTAAGGGTTACAGTAAGTTATCTTGAGTGCCAAATGAAAGTGTAATTTTGTCCTCTAAGAGAGCTGTATCCTCCGAGAGGTGCTGTGTGATGCAAGAGGCTCTGAGAATAAAACGGGATGCTTCCGACCCACGTGGCAGTGTTGGAGGACGGAGAAGCGTGGAGGGTCAGTCTTCCAGCATGCAGAGTGGGCTGTTGAAAGGCAAATTTGGCTTTAATTGCAGCAGTTCTATTTCTTCGCCAGAGGAGGTGGAGGGTGGAAAAAAAAGTAACATGATGCAACAGCTGCACCTCCTCTCCTTAAGACATAACTCTAGACATTTCAGAGCTGCTTAATATTCATTTATTTTCTCTTTATAGCTAATTTAAGTCACTGATGGACGAAAGTTAGCATATCTGACGTTGTACAAAACAAGATAAAGAAAGACAAGATAGTACCCTGTAGCTCCTGATTCGACTAATTAACTCACTGGAATTATAGAATTGCTTGATTGATGAACATCACTAAATATGATTCACCATCACTATATATTTATTCACCCCAACAGAACCCAAAGTCAAATCTATTTTAAATTGCTCCGTCTGCAAATAAACATGCATGGATGAAGCGCTGCCAATGTCTTTCTGGTGCAGTTTTGATATTTGGTTGTTGCTAAATACCTTCTACATGCTTTGTTGTGGTTAATTATTGTCACAGATAAGCTTACTAAAACATGTCAATTGGATATTTTGGCCGTTTGACTTGATTATTTTCTGACAGGAAGTATTCATTAAGGAAAGACTGATGTAAAAAACATTTTGATCAGCTTTTGTCAGTGTGTTGGGGAATGAGAATCAATGATTAGATTTCCTGGAAGTAAGCTTCAAATGTTGTCGTACTGGAGGCAAGGGCGTGACTTCTCTTCAGGACAGAACAAGTGAAGGAAACTGAACTTCTTGGTGATATTATATTTCAGTTTCCCTTTCCACTCACAGCCGATTCAGAGAGTTAGGGCAGTGCAGTGTTATTCTTCTGAGAGGTGTGGTTGTGTGGACAGCTCAAAGGTTAGAGAAGGGAACTTGTGAATGGAAGATGGAAGAACTCGCCTTGACTTGGAAAATGTGACAGAGGAAAAATGGTTTCAGAAATCAGGGTGGACTAGAGTTTAATTTAAACGGCTGTCTAACTGTCCGAAGTTACACAATGCCATGGAGACAGTGTGAATAGCTTTTGCTTCCATAAACAATCAATGATAAAATGTTGTCTGTGCACATTACGGAATCAGCATTAAAGACCCTAGTAAACTTAAGTGTATAGGAATTATAAAACAGATATTATAATATAATACAAATAACACAATAAAACGCATGCATTGGTAACACACTAATATTTAGTCAAAAGCAGATACAGTGTCGTTTTAAGTGTTTTAATAGTATAAAATGATGTTTGATTATGTATAATTACACACATTAACTTGTCCTTATTATAGAACAGATTTATTATCCCCTAAAAATATTATTTGGAGGGCAACTTTAAAGTTGTTAATAAACTATGATCTGCTTTTGTATAATGGATATTTTGACATTTCATGAATAAATATGATTATTAGAATGAATGATTATGTTAATAATATTTTAATTATCTAAAATTCTGCTATATTATAAGGACTAATGAACGGCTTTTACACTATTGTATTTGTATTTATGAAAAAGCAACTTATTCCACCTCTGATTTCATTCATAATCTATTAAGTAGTTATGGCTGTTGACAAGTATTATATGAAGACATAACAACTGTTTTCAGCTACAATATATTGTGTTATTATAACTTTTAATTGTTTATATACTCTACTTAAAGGCAATACCTTTTCTTGAACTTTTCAGGCAGTCAAACCGATGATGTAGAAAGCTGACAATGTAATTTATCCTAATGTGACCATTATGTGTCATGACAAATATCAGTCTCAGGTTGAGCACTGGTTTGAATCCGCTCTCCAGTTAAAGCCAGTATCCATGTGTAGTGGTACACTAGTGTTTACTGTCTGATCCTCTATTGCTTCAAGTTATTTCGCTCATGGAAACATTCACGCTCCAGCTGAGCACATCACTCAGTATTTACTCGCAGCTCCAGCCCGACTCCTGCAGACGTTCAGTATTTGATTACAGCAACAGGCTGATTGGATTTCAGGAGGCATGACTCAAATACCTCCAGCAAACACAGAGCAACTGGAGAACTTCCTGCTTGAGATGGACGAGCAGAGAGGACACCGAATAATCAGCGCACACACAAACACCACTAGGGTCAGCATGGAAAAATCACTCTGACATGATGTGCAGGACGCTACACCTCAGAAAACAATTAAGATGTATGAAGAACTCCAATGGCTGCAACACGGTTTTCTCTCTCTCTGGCTGATTCTGTGTGTCTCTCTCTTCCTGTGGGAAGTTGTGTTGGTTACATTCGTCAATGTTGAATTAGTGGATTTAATGTTTAAACCGAATACTTATTTCTTCTTACTCAATTTCAGAACCTTTACTGAAAAGACTGTGAATGGAGCAGGGTGTAGGAAGTATCAAAACTACACTATATTTAAGTTCATCATTTATGTTCCTCACAATAACCAATTATATTTTACTTGGGATTTATTTTTACATTTTAAGTAAATATGAAACATCTTTGGAAAGGAATCCTTTATCTGACCTGAAACAGCCCGTCAAATAAATGATGGAGAAGAGATCGGAAACAGATAGACAAAGCAAAATAAGATCACAAAAATCTATATAGTTGAGAAACTTACTGCGAGTAACCCTCGAATTGTGTTTATGAAGACTAATAATAATGTTGACAGCAGAACTATACCAACTGAACTGAACTGAACCTCTTTGCTGCCCTCATGTGGCTCATTGTTCTTGTAACATGCAAACATCATAGTCCATTTTTCATAGAATACATTTTAAATCTAAGGAGCAGGCATAACATTTTGCAACAAATGTAACGATATCTTTTGACTATTTGTTTTTGATCACCTGGCTAGCGATAGCCAAAACCACAAAACAAAAGATTGATTACTTTCTTTCTTTAAATACATTTTTATTACATAAATGACATAGTTTTGACAGTGTGGCCTTTTAACATAAAGACAGCGTTTTACATTTCAGGTATTTTGGATGGGTGAACCTGCACAACAGAGCCATGAATTCCTCACAGTCTTTTAGGTTTGTGCATGGGTTTGTATTTGTATATTTCTTCAATGATTTGATTTGACCAAACACAGAAAACCGCAGACCCTTCCTCCCTGACCCTCCCCAGTGACCCCTCCCCCCAGCCCTGTCCTCTGTGCAGAATTAATTTTTCAGCCCCAGTTGTAAATGTCCTCATCTGTAACGGCCAGGATGTCTGTGACCAGGCCGGTGCCGATGGTTTTGTTTCCGTCTCTCAGAGTGAACCTCTGGCCTTTCTCCAGGACCATCGGCTGACGGAGCGTGAGCGTCAAGGAGGTGTCCTCCCCGGGCATCACCATTTCCTGAAGGAAGAAGAGAGATTGATTATTGTCCTAGAAAACCCTGTTGTTGCACTACATTGTTTACTAAGGCTGCAACTAATAGATTTTTTTTATTGCAGAGAAATAGATTAGTTGTTTGCTCTATAAAATGTCAGAAAATGTTCCCATTTTAAAAACTGGGATCAGAAAATGTTGACTTCTGATAACTAATCAACATCAAATGTTGTTCACTTATGAACATTAGGTCATTTGTATGCATATTGAACTGCCTTGTTGTTGAAATGCACTATATACATATCTTGCCTTT